AACAACAACATTTTGTGCAGCTTTGAGTTTTTCTTGCCTTCAAACTTGCTTTTTGTCCTGAGGTGTAATTTCATATCTTTCCTGCTATTCTTTAGCCTACGTTTCCAAAGGCAGAGGAGTCACTTCAGATGGAGAATTCCCTCCTGCTTCTTCCTGCAACCTGTCATATTGAGAAGTGCGTTCCTGTCATTAGGCAATGAGTGACCGAGAGCAGGGCCTCCCGGTGAATCTAGGAGAATCCCCAAATTGTGGCTCATTCATTGGTACATCTCTCTTCAAAGTCAGAGATGGAATTTCCCTGGAACTCTATGGTCTACAAACCCAACCGTATTGAATCTTGAAGAGATTCACTCCGTCTGTTCCTTCCCATCCGGACTCTGACGGCCTCTATGCCACCACTTCCAGCACATCACTTGTTTGGCCTGGGGATGTGAAAAATAACTGGATATCATCAGCATACAGAGGATACCAGACTCTAGGCCAAAAGATGACCTCCCCCAGAAGTTCCATGTATATCTTCAAAAGGAGTGGTAAGTGGGGAGAGCCCTGGATCACGCACAGAATAGCTGTCTCTGGACAGGTCTCTCTTCCACCATGACTACCTCAAGAAGGAGGAGAACTACCACTAAACTGTGCACTTCCTCAGAGACCGTGCATAAGAAGGTCATGGTCGATGGTATTGAAAGCCACTGAGTGATCAGGGAGGGTTGCACTCCTCCAAACCCTCTCTCTCCATAACTCATTCGTAAGTGCAACTAATAGAATTTCAATAATGTATCCTGGTTGGGAAGAGATTGCCAAGGAGCCAAATAATCGGCTTACTCTCAGGCTCTCTGCAGTTGCAGAAACTCAACCCTGTTATCCAACCCAGGTCAGAAATTGGACACCACAAAAGCTTCTGGAGCTCTACAATATTTTTATGGGGTATAATAACAGAATCTGGAAAGCCTGACAGCGTTTCCTACTGACCTCCTTTACAGGATGCAGAATCAAGGCAGGATTATTTTGACCCTCTTGAGTAAGTAGAAAGCTGAATTCCATTCCCACTCTGTTCCTTGGCTCCCTCTCCTCCCCCAATCAGGGACCCGACTTTCTCCAGAAGGTTTCTTAAAAATGGAAGGTTGGAGATAGGTCTACTGTTGTCAAAACCAGTTGGATTCATAAGGCTTCCTGATCAGGGGGACACAACAGCCTCCTTCCTCCTGGCCCAACCCCATGGAAATTGCACCCTTTCTCCGCTCTTTGGATTAGCACCTACATTGCACAGAGGATCCAGCAGGGGGCTCCCTCTGCAAACAGAAGGAAACACCATGCACTTCAGCATTGGGCCACTGGAGGGAGAATGCCACAGGTGACTCTCCAGAGGAGGGGGAAGGAAGTGACATCATGTAGGTGTTGCCTCTCTAGGATGCTGTACTCTCTCTTTAACCCCTTGAGCTTCGCATGTAGTAAAAAGATTGCAGGAAGGTCTGTTGAAAGCAGAGCTCTGTTGCCCCGAGGAACCAATCCAGGAACCCCAGGAAGGAGGAGGGGATGTGGGGAAGCCCTTCCTGCCCCATTTCCTGGGAAAAGCCGCTGGGGCGGGGGGGGGGGGAATTTGCATTGCAAACTCTAGCAGGACATAAGAGAAGACGTCCAGGGACGGAGATACAAAAGACTGTGCTTGCATTCTCCCATGTGCTGCATGAGACTAAAATAGGGTTGGATCCTCTGCAGTTCAACAGGAGGGTGAGTGAACCAGGACATCATCTTAAGCTACGTTCTCTCAAGCCCTCTTTCATGTGAACAAGGTTGATCTGTTTGGGCTTAGGGCATCTTGAGAACCCGCCTGCATAGTAATAGTGTGACTTGGCTCTTAAGAAACAAGCCCTGAAGAAAGGGAAGGGGAACATCCTAAACCAGGGTAATTCCATTAGCATTTCATTTTATGTGAACTGAACTTTCATGGTTTGTTGGCCTGTTTGGGGTTTGGCTTATTGTGTGAACCCTGCTTGTAGGTAAGTGTAGATCTAGGTTTTTAAAAAGCAAGGCCTTCCTTGTGAGAAAAAAGAAATAGAAAATGCTCCAAAATACATTTATTCCGTGTTCCTTGATAGAAGTCAATCCCATATTTTGCAAGACACACACAGACATACCCACACACACAGGGAAGATTTACCTGCTCAATGCCACTGCAATCCTGTACCAGCTCAGAAAAATACTTCCTTCCATGTGGATGA